GTGTTCATCCAGCTCTGCACCTTGTCTCCAATATTTTGGCACATGGGTTCTTATACATCGTTTGTCATATATGATTAAGAAGAGTATTATCGGTAAACAATTTTTTAAATGAATTAAAACGTACCTGACACAGTGATATTATTTTCCCAATGTAATCATCAGGAGTGAGGATAGTGCCAGTAACTACTGGTTCCAAATATTCTTTAACTTGCAATCTATCAGGAAAATGGCATGGATTTAAAATTGTAATTTCTTCTTCTCCGTATTCCTAAAGCAATCAAAAAGATACAATGTACAGTTTGATTTCAAATCTTTAAACAATATCAAAACAGTATCCTGCGTGATGGAATCATTTTTCAAAATATTTGGTATGTAAATGAATTTTAAAACATTCCACCTTGATTAATTTGCTTGATGACAGAACTGCTTTGTATGGAACAGTGGGGGCAGTAAGAATAACTGAGGCATTATACTCTTGCTCCAAGCGTTGATTGAATACTTCCATGTGCAGAAGTCCAAGAAAACCCAATCTGGCAATGAGGATGAAACATTCGCTTATTTTACAGAGTGCAGTAAAAACTAATTTTATCTTATAAACATCACAACTCTATAACTCCAGCAAGTTTTGTGTTGAGATAAGTGATTAAGGATAGAAAAACTAGCAAAAAGGTGCAAGGAAATTGTAGAAATATTTCTACAAAGCAACATTGAGGATTCTAGAAATCTGAAAATGAACAGAAATTTCTGAAAATGCTCAGCAGCTCTGGCATCACTGGCAGAAAAAGCAACAGAGATTAAGGCTCAGATCTTCAGTCTCTGGATAATTGATGTCCTGATACACTGAACATGCAATAATTGCCCGGAAGCTGAAACTTGATGTGCAATTACCCAGGGTCTGACATCCTTCAAAAACTTCCCCAACCGAATTAAGAGTCAGAGACTTCACAAGAATGCAACTTAACTCAATTGAATAGTTTGCAGAGAAAAGTTAGAGGAATTAAAATATACACCAACTCCCTGACTAACTATTAAGCTGAACTTGGAGAACACTTATTCTTAACCCCAGGAATCACTCAGTTACCACTCCTGCCCCCAGCTACATGAGATTAGATGCCCTCTCTCCCAAACCTCTTCAGATCTGAGCCTGACCACCCACTACCCCCATGCCAGATCCGACCTCAGTCTTCGAGCCTGATCGTTTCACTTTCCCTGTCCACAGATGTGGTTGCTTTATCTTGTTTTGAGTAAAACAAAAACAAATGAGCAATTTACCCACATTCCCAAATAACTGTCACAACCTTAGAAAAAGTAAAATGGCCTTTCAAATCAGTGGAAGAAGGAAGGAGTAAAGAAAAATCAATTCCTAAAAAACAATTTATGGTGCAACATTACTTTGTTTTAATATAGTTCAGAATTAATTATTCATTTTTTAAAGTTAATTGGAACTAGCAATTACTAGGAACCAGCAGAAGATGACTGAAAAGCTAATAAGGAGGGACAGAATTAATTATGAAGGTAAATTAGCAAGAAATATAAAACTAAACTGCAAGAGCTTTTGCAGGCACGTAAAAAGAGATTAGCTGAAGTGAGATAACAAGGTGTAGAGCTGGATGAACACAGCAGGCCAAGCGGCATCAGAGGAGCAGGAAAACTGATGTTTCCGGCCTAGAAAGTGAGTCTGGACTCCTTGGAGAACATGACTGGGGAATTCATAACTGGGAACGAGAATTGGCAGATAAATTAAACCAATATTTTGCATCAGTCTTCATGATGGAGGAAGCTACAAACATCTTAAAGATATCGGATAAGCAAGGTGCTAATGAGAGGAAAAGGCTGGTAACAGTCTTAACAGTCTTTATAACAAAGGATAAAGCATTTGACAAACTAATAGGACTAAAGGCAGATATGTTGCAAGGATCTGACAGACTTCATCCAAGAGTTTTAAACAAAGTGCCTGAAGCAATAATGGAGGCATCAGTCGAAATACTCCAGATTTCACTGGATTCCCGGAGAGTTCCAGCAAAATGGAAAACAACTTGTGTGCCTGTTTAAGAGAAAGGGAGATGAAAGCAGGGAACTATAGGCCAGTTAGCCTAATATCTATCATTAAGAAAATGCCAAAGTCTGATATAATGAAGAAATTGCAACATTTATAACAGTTTAAGATGATCAAACAGAGTCAATGTGGTTTTGCAGATGGGAAATCATGATTGACAGATCTTCTAGAGTTCTTTGAGAATAAAACAACCAGAGCTGATGAAGTGGAACCAGTATTTGTGGTGTATTTGTACAAGTTCCTGATATTGGGAATAATATAATAGCATGGATTGAAGATTGGTTAACATATAGAAGACAGAAAGCCAGAATTAATGGATCTTTTTCAGATTGGAAAACTGCACCTAGTGGAGTGCCACAAGGTTCATTCTAGGACTTGAAGTATTTACTGTATATATTAATGATTTGGAGGAGAGGGCAGAGTGTAATGTATTCAAATTTCCTGATGATGTAAACATAGGTGGGAGGGTTTGCTGTGATGAGGACATGGAAATCTGCAAGGGGATACAGATAGGATGGGTGAGTGAGTAAAAACTTAGCAGACAGAGTTTAATGTAGCAAAGTGGGAGGTAATCCACTTTGGTCAGAAAAATCAAAAGACAGACTATTATTGAAATGGAAAGAAACTCCAAAGAGGTGCAGTAGATAGGGATCTGGGTGTTCTTGCATATGAAACACAGAAAGGTTAACATACTGATGTAGAAAATAATTAAGGCAAGCGTAATTTTGGCTTTGATTTGTGAGGGAGTTGGACTTTAAAAATGGGGAAGTCTTGTTATAACTTTACAGGGTGTTGGTGACTCTATACCTGGAGTACGGTGTACAATTTGGTCCTAGTATTTAAGAAAGGGTACACTGGTATTGGAGACCCCACAAGAGATTCACTCAGCTGATTTCTGGGATGAAGAGGTCAACTTATCAAGAATGGCTAAACAGTTTATTCACTGGAGATTAGAAGAATGAGGACGATTTTACAGAAACATAAAAGATTCTGAGAGGTTCTGACAGAATAGACATTGAGAAGATGTTTCCACAAATGATAGAAATTTGAACCAAGGACATAATTACATAATAAGGGGGCATTTACCCAGAGATTAGCGAACATATGGAATTCTCTACTTCAAAGTTATGGAAACCAGATTAATGAAAGTACTTTAAGATGAAATAGATAGAGTTTTGAAATATTGAAGATTTGAGGAATATGAGGAGCTGAGGCCTGGGGCAGATCAGCCATGATCTTATAGAATGGTGGGCAGGCTTAAAGAAATGAATAGACTACTCCTGCTCATATTTCTTACATTCATTGCTGACCAAATATATGCCAGCATCAGAATAAATATTTGTGCTTTTAATGAGAAAGGAAAAAACTAAGAGGAAAAAGAATTAAAAAGAATGAATGCCAATGGTTTTTAAAATAATTAATGTTGTCACTCACCTCCAGCCAGCTCCTAGGGCTGGGCTGCTATCTCGATGAACTGTCACACTAGAATCATTTAGTGTTAGTTTCTCCACAGCTTTTCTCAAGTTGGTATATTCAGACTGGTCAATGGGGTACATTCCTTGGATATGATGATGAGAACACAGAACAGAACATTGCACTAAATGGCTTGAGTTAATTTCATGGAAAATACAGTTGATTTTTGTAATATATGTAACTTTGCTGGCAGTGCTATGCCTTTGACAGACATCAGTGTTATAAAATACACTTTGTGGTCTTGGAACAGGGTCCTAGATATCCTTCCAAAAAATAAGCATATGCAGAGCACTTCTGGCCATCAGATGGCACTGAGTTCCCAATGATAACAGGGCAGGAAATCTCTTAACTAAATAAAAACTGGATCCTATTAGCTCACTTTACTTCAAAAACTGTCTCTGAACAGCTGTAAAATTTTTTAGAGTCAGAGTCATGCATCATGGAAACAGACTCTTTGATCCAACCAGTCCACGCCGACCATAATCCCAAATTAAACTTGTCCCACTTACCTGCACTTGGCCCATATCCCTCCAAACATTTTATAATCATGTACTTATCCAAATGTCATTTAAATGTTGTAATTGTACCTGCATCCACTAATCCCAATGAAAAACATTAATGCATATTGATTTATTAACATCTTGTTGCCTTGAAGCAGTAATAGCAGTTTCCTTACCTGCAAAGACCATTGGTTTAGCAGGTTTGAACCCTGTTAGTGGCTCCACAGGTTGTTTCTGTAAATGAAAGGTGTCTCCAATCTGTGCCTCCTTCACCTCCTTCATTCCAGCAACCAAATAGCCCACTTGTCCAGCATGCCTTAACAACAAAACAACGGAAGAATATCTCCATTTCAAGTAATTAACAAATTAAAACACAGCTAAAATGAATAAAAACAATATACTGTGGAACCTGGAAATCTGAAATAAAAACAGAAAATGTTGGAGGAACTCAGCAGATCTATGGAAAGACAGAGTTGATGTTTCAAGTCGGATATCATTCTTCTGAAGAGACATATCAGGCTTGAAAGGTGAATTGTTTCTCTCTTCATTGATGCTGCCAGACCTGCTGATTTTTCCAGCATTTTCTATTTTTGTTATTGTCGTTACTTTGCTGTGACAGAGATGTGTATCATTTGACATGAAATAACACTATTCTAAAGCAATGTGTAATTTCATTCTAATCAAACCCTAAACTATATATCTATTTAAAATGCAATTTCAAAATTATAAATGTTCTCTAAGAAAAGTTATGAAAAGGGAAATAAATGTAAAAAAGTGAAACTTTATTTTGCGACTAATCTGTAAATCATAAAAAACAAAAACCTGGCATTGTTAATTGATTCAAGAATGACAGTATGCAATCTACTTACAGCAGAGACTTGTTAATAATGGCAAATTCTTTTTTCTATTCATTTGTGGGATGTGGGCGTTGCTGGCTGGCCAGCGTTTCTTGCCCATCCCTAGTTGCCCTTGAGAAAGTGGTGGTGAGCTGCCTTCTTGAATCACTGCAGATCTCCTGCTGTGGGTTGACCCACAATGCTATTAAGGAGGGAATTCCAGGATTTTGACCCAGTGACAGTGAAGGAACGGCGATATATTTCCAAGTCAGGATAGTGAATGACTTGGAGGGGAACGTGGAGGTGGTGGAGTCCCATATGTCTGATGCCCTAGTCCTTCGAGATGGAAGTGGTCATGGGTTTGGAAGGTGCTGTCTGAGGATCTTTGGTGAATTTCTGCAGTGCATCTTGTAGATAGTACACACTGCTGTTACTGAGCGTCGGTGGAAGAAGGAGTGAATGCTTGTGGATGTAGTACCAATCGATTACTTTAAATTACTTCAAATTTAACTGGTATCATATTGTACAAGAGGATTCAGCAATTTGGGGCTAATTACACAATTGCCAACATGGGTTAACATTGGAAATTCTCAAAATTTGACTTAGAATCTGCTCAATAGGGATGAATAATTAAATTTAAAGTCAAATTAACCTTCAGTCTGTACAACAGTGAAATGTTTTTACGTCAAGTTACAGTGCTTAAGTCTGGTCATGCTTCTATGAACTGGAAAATATTGGCAGCACATTTTAATCTAACTTTTATAAAGATCTCACATTCTACTCTAACAGTTCCTTGGTAGTACAGAACTTTGAACATTATGTTCAGTCCCAAATTACTTTAATGAATCTGACTCTTAATTTCCACTAAGGAAACTTTCAAATCACTCTTAGAAAAGAGTGAAGAAAGAAAAATCCATTGAGGATGATCTAGAATTGAACATCTTTTACATCTCAACAGATTACTTCATGGAAAACAATGAAATACAGAACTTGCTCCATTTATGAGGAAGTTGAATATGTCACCTGAATTATTGGGTTTTCCTTGTGAACTGAATTTTCAATCTGCAGTGTAGCAGATATGTTTCCCAATACTGCTCTAATATTTGTGAACATGACATTGAGACAGAGCAGTGACTTCTTACAGTTTTTCTACTGGATATTGATCAGGCCTCAGGATTCCAACTTCATTAACTTCATACACCTTCTTCGTGTACGATGACATTATTTTGTCACCCTTTTGCATACATCCATCAAACAGTGCAATGCTGGCTATGACTCCTCTGTAGTGGTCATAAGTGGAATCAAATACCAAAGCTCGCAATGGGTCTGAAAGATTTGCACATGGCCTGAAACAAAAATACAATGCAATTCTTTAACTCATTTTACTTCAACTATCAAAATCATAAATAATGTAACCAAAATAAAACTGAAATAATAATCTATAATAATTTGATATTTCTAACTAAAATTTGAAGCTAGTAGTCAGCTATCAGCTATTAGTAGTCAGATATTGCAAAACCACAACATTTGCCTAAGTCTTTAAATGGCAGCTAGGATTCTCCCGTCCTTTGACTGTTTAGAATATCAGCACTTCACTGCATTTGACAGTGCTGGAGTGAATGTCTTATTTCCATCATGTTACGAGGTATGCCTTGATGAAGGATTTGTTGTCATGTTTTGTTTTTGAAAGCAAGCATTATAAACTTGTCTGCTCGGAGCCCAAAAATGTAGCTGGCTTTGTTGCTTTTTAAAGCAGGCAAAAGAAGCATGAGTGGGTGGGATCCAGCTCCCACAAAACCAGGATTTAGTTTAACTTTCAGTAGTCAAAGGGGTCGTGAAGCTGGGTGTGGAAGCTGTTATTCTTCTCTCTGTTATAGCTAAAACCTTGGGTTCTCTTCCTGCTGTTACAGTTGCATGTGAGACAATCTATCTTACTGAATTTGCCATTGCCAAGGGTACATTTATGAGATATTATTATTTGGAATAGTTGCTGTTTAGTAATTAAATGATCCATAATTCTGTTAAGTTTTCCAATACAGTTTAAAGTCAGTTCAATTGTTCTTTCTTTTGGTGTATTTTAATCACAGTGTAAGAATAAAGAATATTTTGCTTCAAGCCTGGTCGTCTTGACCAATTGAATTGCATCCGGAACACAATGCTTAACATTTGCCTTTAAAAAGAAGATAAAGTTGAGGTGTAGGCTATCTTCTTATTATATTTTGAGAAGATTTGGTCTGCTCCATTACAATCAATTACTTTGTAGGATTATTAGAAAGCAATTTTGGGACACTGTGCAAAAGATTGCATTAATACTACAAATACCAAATTTACAGTATCACTGAAATATTATCTGCTTCTCATTCCTGCTCAGTTACCTCTGGAAGCACGTAAGAATCTACTCTTGGCTCCTCTAATTGTATCTCTCATTGACGTAATCCAAAAATCACAAAGTCAGTTTCCACATGTATGCTGATGACACCAATTTTTTCTCAGCTTCCTCTCCCAATCTCTGCACTAAGTCTAAATCATCAGATTGCTTGACATGATGTCAATGGAATTGACATCTAATCCAAATAATTGTGGGAAAACTGAAGTCATTGTCTTTGGTTCCTGCTGAAAATCTTTTCGTTCTCTTGCCTGACACCATTCTTCTCTCTAGCAGCTGTCTGAGTCTGAATCAGGTTGTTTGCAACCTCAATGCAATATTCAATCCTGGGATGAACATCGATCACACCTCGTCACTTGTCACTAAGTCCATTTTTTCTGAAGAAGGGTCCCGACCTGAAACGTGAGCTTTCCTGCTCCTCTGATGCTGTCTGGCATGCTGTGTTCCTCCAGCTCCACACTGTGTTATCTCTTTTCCCATGTCTATCACATAACCTGACTCAGTATACATCAGCTGTTGCAACCCTCATTCATGTTACCTCCATAATTGCACACATGAACTTGTGGCCAAATTTCCACATTCTGCTCTCCTTAAATTTGACATCATCCAAAATTGTGCTACCAGTCCTAACCTCTTACCAAATCCTGATTCGCTTGTTACCCCTGTGCTCAGTGACCTCTAAATGTTGCTGGTTAAAATATGCTTTGTTTTAATTCACCATCCCCCTTTAAAACTTACCTATTTGACCAAACTTATGGACATCTGCACTGGTCTCTCCTTACACAGCACAGTGTCATAATTTTATTATGTTTCTCAGTAGAACCTTGGGATGTTTCAGTATGTTAATGCTGTTAACTGATGTGGTAGACGGGCTGCTAATCAAGCAGGTTGCTTTTACTTAGATGATATCGAACTTCTTGGATGTTGTTGAAGTCACACTCATCAAGGCAAGTGAATGGTATTGCAATAAGCTCTTACTTGTGCTCTGCAGATGGTGAAAGACTTCAGGGACTCAGAAGGCGAGTCAATTATTACACAATTGCCAGCCTCTGACCTGCTCTCGTAGCAACTGTACTTATTTGGCTATCCCTGTTAACTGTCTGGTCAATGGTACCCCTCAAGATATTGATTGTTGGGGCTTTAACTGTAACCGTGCTATTGAATATGAAGGAAAGGTGGTGAGATCGTAATTTTACTTAGCTGAATGCTTGTTCAATCACCAAAGTTTGTGAGTTGCATTTTTTGGTAGCAATCATAGAAGCAAAATCAACTTTGAATTTGTTGGTAACACTCATAAGGAGCCATTTTGGAAACAATTCTGCTGCATCTCATTTTCACTTTAAACCATGAGTAGCAGAAAAGTTCTCAGAAACCTAATGATTCACATCAATGATACTTACGGAGGAATTTTTTTAACAACCTTTTCCAAAACTTTATCTACATTTGTCCCAAGTTTGGCTGAAATCTATAGTAAAAGTACAGGTAGAAAAAAAAGCATTTAGTGTAAATTCAAAGGTATATGCTCCACGATACAACAAATAATCACCTCTGCTCTAAATACATTTAACTGTAACTAGGTGTAAAATAACCTTAGAGATAGTAGGAACTGCAGATGTTGGAGAATCTGAGATGACAAGGTGTAGAGCTGGATGAACACAGCAGGCCAAGAAGGTGAAGAAGGGTCTAGGCCCGAAATGTCCGCCTTCCTGCTCCTCTGATGCTGCTTGGCCTGCTGTGTTCATCCAGCTCTACACCTTGTTATCTCTATGTAAAATAACCTTAGTTTTATTTAATAGTTTTCTTAAAAACTGGATCAAGGCAAAGTTCTTTAAGCAAGCAAATCCTGATTCCTCAATACTTTATGTTAAACTCTTCATTGGCATTGTCTACACGTCACAGAAGTATTAAATTACAGCGTTATTAGAAAGGAGTTTCAGAATACTATGCAAAAAATTGCATTAATAGTACAAATTCCAAATTTACAGTAGTCATTAAAAACTAACAATTAACCACTGCAACTAGCACTGTAGGTATTATTTGCAGTAAATCATAGGAAATAGTCACTGGTCAACTTGACAAGAGAAGAAGTTTCATACCAGAATGCACTCCTCTTTAGGAATATCAAAGACTTTTTCAATCTGTTTTGCAACTCTGTCAGGTTCAGCATGCTTGAGATCAATCTACAGAAATGAATAGATTCAAATGTATTTTATCAAACGGAATGATCTGTACACAATTGCCTGTCACAGTTTTGGCTTTAAAATTCTCAACTGTGTTTTTGAATTCCTCCGCAAATTTGTCTCTCCCCACTGTATCCACAAGCCCATAATCCTCCAATACATCTGGGCTCATCTAATTCTACTATTTGAGAAATCCCAATCTTAACTGCTCCAGTACTGGATGGGGATCTAAGCTGTGACCTCCAGCACATCTCTCTGCCTCCTGACTTTAAGTTTCATTTTTAAGACACTATTTCAAACCTATCCTTGACCAAGATTTTGATATCTATCCTAGTATCACTCATGTAACTTGGTGTTTGTTTTACATAGCTCCAGTGAAGTGTCCGAGGATGTGTTATTATGTTAAATATGCTACATAAATAAGTTGCTCACTTGTTCCTTTTTTTGAACTGAGACTGAAAAAAAAGACCATTGTTCCATTGCATTTCTCTTAAACTACTGAAATGCTCCCTCTTAAAAGTACCAAAGTGCATTTAACTTAAACATAAGATATAGTAACACAGCCAGAAATATATAAACCACTGTGCTAGTTACCTTGTTTATCACTGGGATTATCTTTAGCTGCGATTCAAATGCAAGAAAGAAGTTTGCCACAGTCTGTGCTTGAATTCCCTGAGGAAAAAAACCCCAGAAACTTTAGTGAACTATGCACTCCATAATCATCATAAAACAACTGACAGTCCACATATGGACCAAACAAGTAGTAATTTCACAAAATCAAAGGTTCTAAATACTCATTCATGTATCACTTTCTAATCAGTACTGAAAAAGAAAGCTAAACCAAATATTTCACGTTGGTCTAAAATGCTGGGGCAACAGATTTCTAACGTGAATATAATAATGCTCGACAAAACCAGACAAGGTGCTGAAGTGTGACTTGACCAATTTACCTCATTGGCATCCACTATCAGCAGTACACCCTGACAAGCAGACAATGATCGAGAAACTTCATAGCTGAAATCCACATGACCCTGGATAGAAACAGAGTTGAAATGTTTCTGTACGTATAAAGACATAGTATGCAAGAAATGTAATAATTTAGGAACCAACACCAAAATAAAGTACACTTCTACTTACAGTAAGCACTACCAAGTATTTAACAGTATATGTATATTTAATATGATATGACACATAGGTGACAAAATACAAGGAGCCATCAAAGGCAACTCAATTTAGGGTGGCACAGTGGCAAGCACTGCTGACTCACAGCACCAAGGACTTGGGTTCGATTCCAGTCCTGGGTGACTGTGTGGAGTTTATACATTGTCGCAGTGTCTGTGTGGGGTCTGTGTGGATTTCTGTTGGGTGCTTCGTTTTTTTCCCCACAGTCCAAAGATGTGCAGTTTAGGTGGATTGGCCATACTAAATTGCCCCGTAGTGTCTAGGGACATGTAGACGAGGTGGATTAGCCATGGGAAATGCAGGATGAAATGGATAGGGTGGGATGCTCTTTGGAGGATCAGTACAGAGTAGATGGGCCGAATGGCCTCTCTCTGCACTGTCAGGATTCTATGATTCTAAGTACTTTATTCTGAACTGGAATTTAGTGGTGGAATATTGTTGGCTTGAAGTTACTTTCAGTTACAAGTTCCTGGGACCATGTATTGACAGGACAGCAGAAACCCTAAGTTAACTAGGAATTTCTGGAAAAATGGCCATCATGACCACAAAAATTGCTCCAGATGGACTAGCTTGAGGTTAATTAATGAGCTTGTTGACCTCAAAACAAAAAATTGATAAGATTAAAGGGAACTATTCTGTACTTACTGGTGTATCAATGAGGTTTAAGAGATAGGTCTTTCCTTCATGGTGATAAAACAGACTTGCTGTCTGTGCCTTGACAGTGATACCTCGTTCACGTTCCACTTGCAATTTATCCAGTACTTGCTTGTTGTGATCAGTCTTGACTATTGCCCCTGAAAATGCATTACTTAAAATGTTTAAGACCTTCAAATGTATGTGAAATGCTCTACACATTTTAATGACGTACTAAACATTACAGCGCAAACATTTAAACAACATAACCAGCCTGCCTAGTGATGTTAATTACTATCAATTTGATCTGGAATAAAAAAATACAGAAACTCAGCAGGTCTGACAGTACCTGTGGACAGAGAAACAAGAGTTGATGCTTTGAGTCTTCTTTGAAATGCCTTTATTTGATCAAGGAAGGTGTTTGTTTCCTTCTAATGTTTGGTGCTCTAATTTTAAACTTATCCAATTATTTTATATGCGTCAACCTAAGGATAGTTACTTTCTGTACAGAATTTGCTTCTCCAGTGAAATCAGCAATGGTAAGGCAGTTTAGTATCACTGTTCTTCACCTACAAGATATAATTGTAACCTGTTGCTACATATCAGGAAACAACACATTGAAGTAAGATAATAAGGGCGCTCTTGTGGCACAGTGGTAGTGTCCCTATCCTTGGACCGACAAGCTCGGGTTCAAGTGCCACCTGCTCCAAAGGTGTGCAATAACATTTCTGAATAAGTTAATTTAAAAAAAGTTCATTAAAAAAATTAAAGTAAAACAGTGTAAAATGCATAATTCAGATCAAAGTTGAATCCCTTTCAAAAGCATTTATAAAACAAATTCCAAAATTTAAATTGTAAAAATAGAGACTTAGAACATAGGAACAGTAGTAGGCCATTTAGCCCTTCAAGGTTGCTATTCCATTTAGTACGATCATGGCTGATAATCCAATTTACTGGATATACTCATGTAAAAGACAAATTTTTTAGACTTTTTTTAAAAAGGTTAAATTTATGGGGGTCGACTATTACATGGATACTACTTTTGTGGGAGTGAAATTCACGCTACAATCTAAAATACTGTATCATTAGCAGAAGCCCAACTGATCTCTAAACAAATAAAGAAAGAAAAACCCACAATGAATTACAGAATTATTCTCCCTGTAAATTAAAACCTGATTATTCTTTCACAAAGTAATCCTGAATCTTTTCCATTTGCTCCTGTGTCCAAAAGCTCTCTGTCACACTCAGTGAAACAGTAAGTCAGTGGATCCAAGCTCTCACAATTACCAGGTTCATTCTTTTGAAATTCTGACAAAGAAATGAAACCCAATGAAAAGAAATCTGCTGTTAAAATACTACAGTAACCTGGAGTCAAAAACAAATTCCTACGAATCCTGGGAATCTCTATGGCTGCACTTTATCTCCACCTGCAGGTCACTTACATCTTACTGTTTCCGAAATTAAAACGCCGAATCCAATTTTCATCCGTAACATTGGAGTAAAGGTACACTTCAGGAAGGTTCTTTGACAGATGAGAATGAACATCATCCAGCACTTGCCTTAAAATCCAAATTATCTGTTAAGAACTAGGGTCGACTTTTACACAAGATATATGGAACATTCCAGATTTTTTGGCCAAAAATAGGGGGTCGACTTTGAGATGAGATCAACTTTTACTCGAGTATATATGGTAGGCCCCATTTTCTCCCAATATCCTTCAGTCGCTTTAGCCACAGGAATTATATCTAACTCCTTGAAAACATTCATTGCTTTTGCCACAATCATTTTCTGCAGCAAAGAATTTCATAAGATCATCACTCTCTGAGTGAAGAAATTTCTCCTTATCTCAGTCCTAAATAGTCCACCCCATATTCTTAACTGTGACCCCTGATTCTACTACTCAGTCATCAGGAACATCCTTCCTGCATTTACCCTGTCTAATCCTGTTATAAGTTTCTACAAGATACCCCCGTCAGTCTTCTAAACTCCACTGAATATAGTCCATTCTCTCTTCAAATGTCAGTTCCACCATCTCAGGAATCAGTCTGGTAAACCTTCATTGCAATCCCTCCATTGCCAGAACCTCCTTCCTCAGATAAGGAGACTAAGCCAGCACATAGTTTCACCAAAGCCCTGTACAACTGCGCAAGAAATCCCTCCTCCTGTACTCAAATCTTTTCACTATGAAGACCAACATACTACTTGCCTTTTTCATTGCCTGCTGCACCTGTACGCTGACTTTCAGCGATAGGTGTACGAGACCCAGTTCGCGCTGCACTCCCCTCTTTCCAATGTACTTCCATTCAAATAATATTCTGCTTTCCTGATTTTGCAACCAAAGTGGATAACCTCACAGTTATACGCATCATACTTCATCTGCCATGCATTTGCCCATTTACTCAACTTGTTCAAATCGCAGTGAAACATCTTTACATCCTCCTCACAGTTCACCCTCCCACCCAGCTTTGTGCCATCTGCAAACTTGGGAGATAGTACATTTACAGATAGTAGGAACTGCAGATGCTGGAGAATCTGAGATAACAAGGTGTAGAGCTGGATGAACACAGCAGGCCGAGCAGCATCAGAGGAGCAGGAAGGCTGACGTTTCGGATCCAGACCCTTCTTCTGAAGAAGGGTCGAGGCCCAAAACGTCAG